TTAGATTTATATCAATAAATACCAAACTTAAAAAAAAACTCACCCCTCCTCAATTGAATTAATGGACCAGTCCTATCTTAACCCTGTTGTTCTTCAATTATCTAAATGGAGAGATAGTTTGTAGGTTTATCAGATACCGCGCCGTGTGGTACTTTTGAAGTCAACTCCCACGGATACACGTGTTCTACAGGATAACTCTCATCATTAACGACCTACCCTTAATGTGCTGTAGGGCCAGGGGGGCGCCATTAAAACCAGGTGGTTGCAGGTCTGTTTTTTCGCAACACTCAGACCTGTTTGTTATTGGAAAATAAACTTCACCATAAAATAGAAGAATCTTGTCTGGTGGGCTGTTCCAATTAAGAGAATTAAGGTCACTCAATCATTCGATATTGGTCTGGAACCTGGCTACAGACTACTAAAGAGCACGTTGACCTAGTTGCCAGTGTTTGTCTGTGAAAGCTAAGGTTACTAATGTTTGGAAACCTTGGTCACGGCTTGGTAACGCTGTTGAATTTGAAAGCAAACAACTGAGTTGACAATGGAAAACAGCAGTTGTATTTCCTTTCTGACAGACATATGTAAGAATGTCCTTTGGTGTGTGTGTGTGTGTGTGTGTGTGTGTGTGTGTGTGTGTGTGTGTGTGTGTGTTGTGTGTTTGTTTGTGTGTGTGTGTGTGTGTAAACACGATAACTCGAGAAGGCTTGGATGGATAGTTCTGATATTTGGTAGGTGAATAGGTCTTGATGAGACCTCGAAATGATTAGATTTTGGGCCACCTGGCGTCTTGTTATGGTACTGCAGTGGAAGTGCTGGTTTTTATATCTGGACATGCTAGGGTCACGAATTTTGGGTGGTCGGTGGCTCTTGCATTCAGGAATGAGTAACGTGAGTTTGGTCCCGCTAGTATTAGGCTATTAGCACATGTCTTGGGCCTTAACGACGTAGTGACGTAAAAATGTAGACCCGGGACAGAGAGCTGTCAGATCTCGTTCACAACGTCTATTCTCGTGAGAACAGAGACGGAACAAAGTGAGGGCCGACGAAAAGTGTGGCAATGACCTCAGCCACTTCGGCCAAAATATGCCGGCTTTAGTTTCTTTCAAGTCTTTATCGTATTATTTATTAATTCTGCTCACTTCTAGGCATTTATCTAATAGGACATCAACACTGTTCTTCTTTGTGGGTAAATCTGGACGAATTTGACCTTGAACATGAATTAGTCGTGAAGACAGGTGTACAAATGACCTTGATCGCCTCTTTCAACATTGCGGACACGGGATGCACTTTGAAAAAAATTCCGTCCAGGTTGTTTGTTTTCCCCTGTGGACGACAACAAATGGAGTCCTGAAAGCTTTTTAGGGAAACTAAACTGGCTGTAAAGTTAAGAGGCCCTCGAGTTGTTCTTTTCCCCGAGCGAGGAAGTTTCCATCAGCGGTTCCGAACAGAATTTTCGCGCGCATTTCTTGAGGCAGTGGTCACTGGAAATGGCAGGTCCCGCAGGAGTATCGGTTGCCGACCTCGTCTCACCTCCGGCTCCCATTTGACTTCCTGCCTCGTCAGTGTCACAGTGATGCCACCATAGAAACTGTTTCATCTATATACACACACTTAGACCTTAGCAATCATACCACTTCGTTAACTCTATGATATATCATATATACAGAAACGTATAGTGACTCTTAGCAACGTGTACAGCCTTTCAAGTTTCAGCCTTGTAGACCGTAGTTGTTTCTCCTGGTGTTCTTTTTTCAAGACACTACCGAGGCCTTCGACTAACTGTTCCAAAGGGGCTTTCCAAAGACGACACTGTTCAGTAAAACTGAAATTTATCTTCTGTGTGCGTGCACCACACCACCCTTTATGGCCAAAGATTTTCCTTTTCTTACAGTACTTTCTTCAGTGTCTCTACCGAAGGGTACAGTCAGTGTTGGTGTCATTGCCTACGGATGTCTGTATGACTTCCTCCTCTGTCCATTGTACTTTTCCAGCCCTTCCGCGTTTTCCAGAAATATCCTAGACATCCCTCCCCGCCGTGAGATGTTGATAACACAGCTGGCTCGTTTGTAATAATTTGTCACATGCTCACTCTGGCATAGCCTCGTAAACAGGTCATTCCAGAGTGGTCTCTCTTCAACTAGCGATCTGTGTTTGAGCTTGATCCCTTATGGCAACAAGTTTTTCATTCGCTAAAACTAGCTAGCCTCCACCAGGCCTTTCTACGGTAATACGGATCATAGAATTCGGCAAAAAAAGAGAGCGAAAATGGCCAAGGGAGTCCGGCCACGGGGAGGTAGTTTCTTTCCCTGTGCGGCCTGTCAAACCTAGTACACGGCGGCCAAACTCCCCTGGCAATTATTCTCCTATATATAGCCAACGTAGTTAGTCTGGTAGAGATTAAAAATTAGCCTGGGTGCCAGACTGTTGCAAGGGACAGTAGAAATTTTACCACAGACCCCTCGACCCTTATGAGGGTCTATTACTGACTGGTCTGTGTATTGGCCCTGGGAATAGTCTGGCATCCAGGCTAACGTCCAGTCTCAGCTGCCCATCCCCAAAAGGTATGCCTGTAATTGAACTGTAGTGGATGCATCATTTATCATGACTCCATTAAGTCAAGGTCAATCTCAAGCCAATTAGGAACAATGAACAATACGTGTACCAGACATGTGTCAGCCCCAGCCCCAGTCCCTAACACCCCGCCGCTGATATACGTGCTAACTGACCCGTTGTTTCACCCTCGAAGATGAAACACAATCGGGCTACAGATGTCTCCCCAACATTTTCATAACTTCACCCTGGGTGGCCAAAGCTTGATCCAGATTTAACCAAGTTCGCCTCTCACTAGTTCAGTCGCTTGCTATGCTTGCTTCATAAGCCGTTGGCATGGAATAAGCTGACTCGGTATGCACCTGACACCTGGGCTGGGCTACCCCGGACTTCGAAGAATAACATATCACTTCCTTTGCAGTTGTGTAATATATATACTGCATTTTTTTTGCGTACGCTACAAAAGTAACTGTAGTGTACCACTTGCTAGTCTCTTTTCTTAAAACAAACACAACAAAAGTAGCTACTACCAGATAGAACAATTCGAACGCGTTTCGTGCGCGCCGCTTTCGAAAATTCGAATACGGCCGGATTCGATCGAACGTTGGAATTGATGCTGTTGCAATTTGTCTAGGGACACCACATTTTCTCAATTTCTGGCACATTTTGCATTGAAATGTGTGTTTTCTAACGTGGGTATGACATAAATAAAATACAACACGGTGTATTCCGCATCACCCTCGGTACCAGTCGTCGCCCTAACAAGGCTAGAACACAGGCACTCACTATGGACCATATGGCAAGGCACCAAACCTAATGTTGTGCCACCACTCGACTTGACAAAACAAATTAACTTGTTCAGGATTAGAACTGTTTTGACCACTTGGTCCGTTTGTGAAGTGACCGCTCGCCCTGTGGACAAAGTAGAAAACTGGACAATGCCTTAAAATAACCGTCAACATTCTCACCAAGAGTTCAAACATGAGCAACTGAATGTCAGTCTGTCGTCACATGTTGTAGCGTATTTCTAACCTTCAAGGACAGGAACGTAAAGTAAGACATGTTTATTATCCTTGCGGTATTCTTGTTTGTGTTTGAGAGAAAGGAGACGGTATGGTGTGTAAACGTTTGGACTGACGTGTTGTGAAAACATGAGTGATTTTACGGTACATTGTGCCGTGTTATGTCCGGCACATCTAGAGGGAACACTGTAAGCACTGTCCGCTCGCTAGGACAGGTAGGAACGGTTACGTAATGTACGCTGAGTATGCACTTCTAGCCATGATATCTGTTTAGACTATGTATCTGTATAGCCGGTATAAATGGCTTTCGGTGTAACACACCAGCTTCTGTATCCTTATAGCAGGTATAACCGCCCGTCGGCGTAACACACCAGCTAAGCAGGCACGCGGCGCGGCGGCAGTTGGCTACATCACACCGAATGGCCTGTTACACCAGACGCAAGCAAGCAGATTATGTCTCTGAAGAAAGTATAAATACAGCTTTAACCCTACTTGCTTACACTCACGGCGGTAGATTTGATCTAAGTGGCCCTTCTTGATCCTTCTTTCTTCAAGTACCCTACAAAAGTTGCCATTGACTTTTCCAAGTCAAGTTTCCACATGTTTTTCGCCAAAATGCTTTTTTAGTCTTTGATGATGAGAAGCAGGCGTAAATGTTGTGGAGAGGCCCGCCTCTCTCTACGGACAGTTTCTCTCAGAAATCACACAGAGGTCGGCAGGCTTTACAAACAGACCGTGCGGAGGGTCTGTGTGTCTGGGGAGAGGGTTAATAAACCTGTTCACAGGTCATCTGTAGGCTGTCAGGCATGGGGAGAGGAACTGTTGGCAAGATGTGAGAGGGTAGAGAGATTGGCGCCGCATTTGGTGTGCGTGTTCGTAGCTACGATTTGTGATAGCCACCAGCTTCACAGGCACGCGGCGCAGCGGTAGAACGACCTGTTACACATAACCTTTGCACAGCTACCTTTTCGAAACAATAAGTATCACAGAAAGCCATTTATCTACAATGAAAACTGCAAGTGTTGTTTGAAGTTATCTAGTGATGATGCCCCTAGCCCTACTGTATGTACATGGTTGTAACGAGTTCCATTCTACGATATAGTTTTAGAAAAAAAAAAACGATGCCCTGGATATGGCCCTGAAACGGTCTGGTATTCAGGATCATTCTAGGACCATTCAGACTATATTTCCTAGCCCTAAAACCAGGGAGCTGGCCTGTGTAGGCCCAGGGAACAGCCTGGTATTCAGGTTATATTTCCTTTTCCTGTAGCCAAGGAGCTGGTTAGTGTAGGCCCTAAAAACAGAATGATATCCATGCTATATTTCCCTGCCCTGGAGCTACGTAGATGGCCTTTGTACGAGGCCCAGAAAACTGTTCGGCATTCTGCTTCTTTCCTAACCCATGTCGCACGTTTCCCGTTTGTACAGAGCCCTATGGAGGAGATCCCTCTGCAGCCGTGGGCGGACCCGGACAGATCACTCCGCGGGGAGGTGGACAGGTTCTTCAACTTCATCTCATCCCCACAGGTACGGCATAGACTGAGATACTAGTACACTAGTACGAGTAAACCACAATAGAAGATTCAACTAGTATACCAGGAGAGTCAGAATACTAGTACTACAAGATTCAGCCACTTTGGAACTATTACTAGTACTCTCCAAGTAGAGAATGGACTTTCAAGCTTATACGTTCTGTCGTTGATGGACAAGCATACAAACAAACCGACTCAAACCAATGCCTCCAATTCATATCCCTGGTTCGACGGTAACTAAGAAGAACAAGAAGGATAGCCTTTTCTGCTTATCTCCAAGCAGATCTTTCGGTGGCCGCTCGGGTGGCCAATGGATACTACCTGGCCAATTTGATAACTTAACTGTCTTTAGGGCCACCGCAAGATCTGCTTGGGGCTTGCACAACGACTTCTATTCCCGGCGCGACCGTTTGTAAGTTTGTGTGCCAGCATCTAGTACCTCAAGAAGCCGGTTTACATAACAACCCCACGCCACATTTCTCCTGCTGGTAACGCTTGAGTCCTGCCTTGGTCAAGGTCGCCTGGCTATGTTCTTAGAATGTTTGTATGGAAACCCTTTGCTTGGTCTGACCTATGTGGCAGACCATCTTTACACTAATAATATAACCGTTGCAGGGCTTGAAATACTGTGTGCAGCTTCCGAAGAACTGTGAGTTGTCTTAAAAGATAGCGACCATAATATAGCGACTTCTCTGAGGTCCATTCCGTTCGGTTGGCGCGAGGTTAAGCCTAAAGGTGACCCAACAGTGGGGGCAAGTGGGCAGTACGTGGAGGAATTCAGGAAGGGTCGACTGTGGGTTATACCCCTATTATTACGTCATACAATCCCCTCCACAGTCACAATACATTCAAGAAAACTCCCAAACGAGTTCCGGAGGTCTGGTATCTCGGATTTCTAGTTTTGAATGAGCAACGAAGGCAATAATACTACGCCATTCTTTGAAGAAAGTTGGGCAAACCAAGTATATAACTACAAAGTGCTAACAGACAAGCTATCCGGGCGCGGGTGCACCTGAAACACATCCTTCTCGTTGGATCGCTTTCAATGTCAGGTCAAAGCCACAAATTTTCCCTGCGACAATATTGACCTTGGGTAAACTTACACTTTAAAGACTGCTGCGAAGTCTGTCGAATACGTCTGAAAATCTGCCGTCTGGATGGTTTTAACATTCGGCACGACGAACGGCCGTCTGCGCGCTGTGACGTCGCCTAGCAACGGCGGAACTTGAACGTGTCGGGCGACTTTAGGGCGAAGTTTAGGACCGGTTAACAAGACCACCAAGTGATTTCAGATGGGTTTTCGCGCTAGTGTGACACAGACGGGCGTGTGGCTCTTGACCCCCGCCACATTTCCAAGTTCCCCCCGCCGATTGTGACATTTGGAAAGTGCCAAAAGAGTTATTCTGCCAAGGTTATAGTACTCGTCATGGACGATTTGAATGGCGACAGTAAATTTTAATCAACGTTTGGCGGTACGCGCGGTAGGTATTGATTTCGATGTCAGCAAAAACTTCTCTGTAAGTTGGCACAAGTTTGCGACGAAAGGTATTCTGGAGTTCGAAAATCTGTTAGTAATCTAAATTTCTCTCCCAAAATGTGGTATCACTTCGTATCATCGACTTTTTTTACTTTTCCAGTTTCGTGACGATTTTTTTTACGTATATCTTTTCCAAAAAGCCTATGCTATATCTGCTTCATCCTAGATATTTGGCTGACTCAGAAAATGATTTGTAACTCCTAACGTTGATTTGTAACTCCTAACGTTGTTACTCTTCTTTGGTTTCTTTCGTCTTTCAACCGTGAACTCTCCCCGACTGTTTTATGTCAATCACGAAGCCGAGTCGCCGTAACGACAAGTTTGAGTTACACTCAAATCTAACCCTTCCAATCCGTATAACATAATCCCCTTGTATATCTGACGAGCACGCCTACACTAGAGGCCAGGACCTCATGTCATGGCACACAAATAAACCACAACCTTGAATCATGTCCTTGATCCTTCGTGAAATGAGAAGAGCAACGCTGTCAGTCAGGGGTGGCGAGAAGGTAATCCTAGCAAGCAAGTAAAACAGAAATAGACCGATCCTGATCGAACGCGCCGAACCCCTGTTCTATTTCAAACACTTCCGTCGAACCCCCTGTTCTATTTCGGACTCTTCCGTCGAACCCACTGTTCTATTTCGGACACTTCCGTCGAACCCCCTGTTCTGTTTCGAACACTTCCGTCGAACGCCTTGTTCTATTTCGAACACTTCCGCCTAACCCCCTGCTCTGTTTCGAACACGTCCGTCGAAATAGGAGTTCGAAATTGAACAGGGGGCGGGGCTTATGGTGTTCGCTGTCAGTCAAGGGCGGCGAGAAGGTACTGTAATCCCGGACAAATAGCGGATTCCACGACGGTACGGCAAGTTTCTTCGAGTCTAGATCTCTCCAAGCAGATGTCTGGAGGCAAATGGTGCAAATGGTAACTTTTTTCTGGCTTCTTGACGGCGCAGGATCATTTGTCGTAGGTCGTCCGTGGGATGAATAGATTATGATGCCATGGAATTTTTAAGCGGACTGTGACAAAACCAACCCTTTTTCTTGTTGGTGGCAAGGATTTTAGGCAGCCTTTTGATAAAAGTTTTATAACGCTATATCAAGGCAGCGTATGTGACAGGTCCCTTAAGAAAACCATTTTCAGCAAAAAAGTGTCTCCCAACATCTGCTTGGGTTTTAGCCTACCTCCAACCAGTCCGAGATAGACCAAAGTATGCACCTGTTCAGATTTGTCTCAGGTAAAGGTAGTAAGGAGGCGAATAGACAACATAGACCTGTTAACAAGACACCCTGCATGGCATGCGCCGCAATGTCGTGGTGAATTATAGACCCCTTTCCCACAGATTTTTCTCAGCAGACTAGACGTCGACTTTAACTACTGTCGTGGATGGTTGAATAGCAACTGATCATGAAACACCGACCGTGAAAAGTCAAGCGATTCCCACGGTCTGATTACAGTTTAGGAGACTCACATCCTTCCCAGACCAGAGACAGACACTGAGACAGCGACACGCCAAAATAACGCCACAAAATGTCACACGGAACTCTGTGACTGTCGCCAAAGCCGTGGTTTTGATTTCTGCCGGAATTCTCGTCGGCGCAAAGGGTTATCAGGTCCGACTGTCGCCTCGGATCTGGAGCCAACTCAGTCAACCTCTCCAGATATATCAGGACTTAAAGGTTACACCGGAAAACGCTTTACTGAAACTCAAGAGCACAAAGTGGTGGGGGCTGTATCGCATTAAGAAATGCTTTTCTAAGGTAGCCAGAAGACATGTAATGAAAAACTGTTGACACGTATGTTGGTAGTTCGGTCTAGGGAGACCATTGTTGAATTAGCCAATGGAGGGACGTCTGTTATGGTTGAACTGTCCAATCGCAACCTTTGTTACAACCGGAACGGGCGCATTTTGTTTTCGGTGTGTCTGTTTGTTTGTCTGTGTTTCCACAAGTCGGAGACACCGACAAAAAGTTAAGTCAAAGGTCCCAGCAAAGTTTATCTCATTTCCGGTCTTCAATTCCTGCTATGTTTAACGTTGTGTCTAAAAATTCATGATACGAAATTCACTAAAACTATTTCAAAGCGGTATGAGGTCTTCGATCCTTGCCTTGTCTACAGAAATTCACGATAGGAAATTCCCCCCAAACTCCAGATATTTTATGCATGTATGGGTCTTCTTTTCTTGTTTGAAGTCGATATCATTTTAGTACGCCAGAAAACGATTCAATCACAAGATCCTCGCCAAGCTGCGTGCTGCTGCAGTCAGAAGTCATGCTGTTCCTGTCAACGGAAACCTCAAACGACACTTCGGGCTGGCCAGCTGGCGTACTGGGCCTTAGAGCAACAATTAAACACATTCTTTCCCGCCGAAACTATGTCTGATCATTTCTTTTCTAGCGTGGCATGCAGTCATAGACGTCTATGAGATACGAACCGAATTGTTCATTAGAGGACGTGGTAGACTGGAGAGAGGAGACACCTGTTTCTCCGACTAACTTTTCTTTGAAAAAAAAAAAAAAGACTGCGAGAGTGCAAGCATTTTTAATTGTAACTAACACACTGTATCCCCGTTTCAATATTTACACATTGTGATGAACATAGACACCAGATACCAATATTGTCTATAGCAAGCAAGTAAAACAAAATAAACCGTTCCCGCTCGAACGCGTCGAACCCCCTGTTCTAATTCGAACACCTCCGTCGAACCCCTGTTCTATTTAGAACACTTTCGTCGAAATAGGTGTTCGAAATAGAACAGGGGGCGGGGCTTATGGTGTTCGAATAGTTCGTTTAGTAACGGTCTAATAGATCCTGTTAGAGACTATTTATTTTACCGTCTTTATGGCTTTTGTATGCCCAACATTTGTTGAGTGGCGAATATGTGAGCTGATATGCTGACTACTAACTAGGACGGCATCTAGGGCACATTTGATTCGGTTCACCGTAGGATCAAACCGAACCATGCCTAGAGGGTCTGGTACATTCCCCTGCCCTAAATTGCTCATCCTCTTCCTATTAACTACAGGTAATGTTATCTATCGCGTACTTGTAGCTTGGATTCTTGCCATAACATTCTGGGTTTAACTCCTCTTCAAGTTCCCCACGTCGAATAGATTTAATAGGTTCGGTCCATCCCTCTGGGTTTAACTGTTCATCCTTTCTATTAACTACAGTTAAATCTATTCGACATGCGGAAAAAGTGCAGGAATCAAACCCAGACCTCGATGGCAAGGCTCCAAGTTGTAAGTGGGCCATTGATATATGTTACTGTGTTCTTTAATAACAGGATATGTCACTTTTAACTTGGCAAAGATCAGAGCAAGCTGTCCGCCCAAGGGTTTTCTTGACCGTGGCAATTTTATCTAATGAACGTTAATATTGACCAGACCTCTAGCTTGTTAGTCTCGTTAGTTGTGCCATGGCGACGGATGCTGACAGGTGTACACATCCTGCAA